GACTGATGTTAGAGTCGGGACTCTTAGTCTCGGGGAACAGATCCGAATGGAACTCTCTGTACGACTTGCGGGGCACCCGATAGCTCACCGGCGCTATACTGTCGGCGCCCAGTAGTACCACTCGATTCACTTCGGTTTGCATGATATTCAGGGCTCGTTTGGGAACAATTGCCGCGCCTTTGGTCTGTATATCAACCGATTTCTTATTGACGCCATTGTTGTCCAACTGTGCCATACCGGTGATGAGATCATTGATCTCCCAGTGATTGACGGCCGAGTCGTTTCTACCGGCGATGAACACCATTTGAGTGTCGAAATCAAATAACGGGATCCAAACCCCTTGCGAGGGCTCGAACTCATTCATCGCGGACACGGGTTTCTGAGTGGAACGGGTGTCCCATAGGAACGCCTCTCTGGCCTTTCGTCTATTAAAACCGCACGAAAGGACATACGGGTTGTCGCCCAACCATATGACTCGCGAGTCTCTGTCGCTGTCGTGAGCCTTGAACTCCATGGCGAAGGCTTCGCCGGAGTCGTCGACTCTGGGATCCCATATCTTGACACAACTGTCCCCTCCATCGGTCAGCGCGTATAGCTTTCCGTCGTATTTACAGTCAATACTTTGTATTTGTGAGCAATTCGTTGAGTTTACAAACGCCTGGCCTTTGGTTATGTCGAAGAGTTTGAGTCGAGTTTTGGTGGCGAACGCGAGTATCGTCTCGACTGTGGTGTGGAATCGGATCAAATCGACCGGTTCTTCGCTCGTGAATGAATGGGTGGCTGTGTTTGGAATGACTATCTTTGGCGAGAGTTGTGTGAACTGCCAGAGGTTCACGTGTCCGGCACTGGACGCCGTGGCCAGTATGCCGTCATCGAAGGGCGAGAAGTCCAGATCAGTCACATCGCCTCAAATGCAAACATTCAAATCAATTAGTTATTAGATTTAATCTAAAAACTACACAAATAATTAAATAATTGCAAAAATTTGTAAATTGTGTATAGCATTACAGATAAACCACAAAAATTATCTAATGATTAACAGTAAAGTATTACCAAAAGTATGTCACAAAAATTCTGTAGTCATTTAAAAGTTGTAATTTTTAAATTCTTAATTCTGTATAACTCCTAACCAAGTACTTAATTAGACCTCAAAGTACTTGAGTTTAGATCCAATAAACACTAACTAAATATTATGAAATAATACTATACTACCGGTGTATTGTATATAAAAATTAATGTAAATTCCTAAACAATTCTGTAGTTCATCAAGAATTTTATTTCACAAAACTTTACTATTCTTACGTAACGCTTAAGGTATTGACATATCATAAGTGTGTGTTAAATGAATTGATGACATCATACAGTGTTATAAAAATACTGATAATTGATATGAAAAAAGTTTGCAACAAAACTGAAATGACTATAAAAAGCGGTGATTAACACATACTTCCGTGCGCTCTGAGTACTGATGAACCACTTTGCAAATCATTAATGTTTGCGATTCCGATATTTCCGCCTAAAAATAAATCCAAAAAAAGTAATTTATTAACACTTAAAATGGAAATCACTGGCAACACAACGGCGCTTATAATACCGGTGCGATTGTAAGCCAGCAATGAGGCGCTCGACGCGATTAGGTTCGAGTGAACGGCAAAGTTATTGACATTTATGTCGTCCGTAATCCAGGCCTTGGTTTGCGATTATATGACAAATATATGGGAGAAACACATCATGCGATTAGAAAAAGAGATAATTTGTATCAAAATTAATAATAACATTCAATATGCGCTACAAATAGGCTATAAATTATCCGATAATAACTGGGCGTCGACTACACGTCTATGTCATGAGTTTACAGTAAAAAAGTTTTAAATAAATGTTTTCATAATTTATAAATTGGTTTACAATTACAGAAATAACTGAAAAAATTAATACAATATTTAAATCACTTATAAAACTCATTATAAAATATAATAAAATTTTAATTTATAATTAAATTTCTTATTAAAATAGTCAACAAATTATAGGATTGGGAGGCGTTTTCGAGGGGGTTAGAGGGGGTAACACTATTTCTCAAATATTGACCAGGCACAATCTCACATATTATCTCACAGTCTTATTGATCTCTAAACTTAACCTAGCTTAGAGTACCGATTTAATAAACTTTAAAAATTAGCATGCTAAGTGACAAGCCCCCTGATGACTCACCTCGTGTTTAGCGGGTATATGAGCTTGCACATTCTTGTATTTGGACACTTTAAACTTGTACATGTTAGCAGGTTGTTGTAGTGAACCGGGTGGGTGCCCTGTCACTCAAATATATCACCAATTTATGGACTTTTAAACTGAATTAAAATTTTAAAATATGTTTCATTCACTCAAAAAGTGTATGTTTTTGTTGTCAAAGCGAAAGCTAAAGCCTTTTAAATGTATGTATTTTGTGCTCAAATAATAGGCGTTTTGGTGGTTATTCACGCCATACATAACGCTTCACTAATCGCATTGTGTTTGCACTCAAATGTACTGTCATTTCAATCGTTTTTGTAAACGTTATTTACTCTCATATAACAGAGTATTCATAACATTAATCTACAAATATACCACGACACAATTACTCTATATACAATACCCTCTACCACTCTCACCCCCTTTACATAACTTTTATACAGTTAAATCTGCTGTAGTATCCCTTCACCCCTCCATTGCGTGACGTTGTATGTGTTCAATCACTCGTATGGGTTTGCAGTGATGACAGCACTGGGAGGGCGTGTCTCTCATGACGCTTATGGGTGTCACCACTGAAAGCGTATAACTCTCGCCCATTGGCTGTTTGCCCACAAAAACATTATTCAATCGTTTTTATGGATTATATTTTTGTTTACAGTCTTATTGTCTGTCATATGATTTGCAAACACTTTGTGTTGTTTGGTGTCAAACGCTATGCGTTTTTCATATGATTTACT